GGTGGGATCTGGGTTGCATCTGAGCCGAGTGTCTGCACTTACCATCTACAAAACTGTTTCTTCAGTTCTACTCCTTGCCCAGCTTGACATCCTCTCTTATTTGAAATGAGAAATGTGATGAAGCTTTTGTGGAGAGTACTCAGAACATGCACTCAGCAGGGGATGTAGAAGGAGTTTAAATAAAATGTGGAAGTGCTCTGTTCGTGAATCAAGGCCTTTCCATGTCCTTGTGTTGAAAGGACACCTGTCTGGAGCCTAAAGGCAAGAGCAAGGTTCCTACAAAACAAACTGATGACCATGTACTCTGGGATGAAAGGTTTCTGGCTGCCACCTCTGGAATTAGCTTTGCCAAACTCTTCTCTCTATGGTAAAGCTCAAATTGAGGTAGCTGAGTTGGAAATGCAGGACATTTCAAAGATGACTTTTATTCCACTTGACTGATACGTTTTGTGTCAGGGTACTGCGAACTGGTTGGGCAGTTTTGAAGTTGTGGCGCGGGAGAAGGTACTAAGGAGACACAGCATTCCCTGGGCAAACAGGGCAGTCACACAGTCAAATGCTTCAGGGGTCACACGGCTTGGGAGCTGAACAGATGGATGCCACTGTGATGTGCCTTAAAAACCTCTTTGGTGCATACAGCCCTCTGCTGTCTTCAGAAGAGAGGTGAAAGTGCCCCCTGCCATTGGCAGGCAAGGAACGAGCTGGGAACTGGTTCGGTGTGGCTCAGAGCCCCCCAGGGCGTCTGGGGGTATCTCAAATGAAATGCATTCCAGAAGTCAATAAATTATCTTGTCTGTGCCAAGTCTTCCATTAGCAGAGGTAATAACAAGAAACTCTTCCATTCTTCTAGATTCTTGAAACAGGAAATACTAGAAGTTAGACATAGCTGTGCTTGTCTTTTGTTGTTGAAGGTATATACAAGCAGTGGGAAAAGAACATAGTGGGGATATTTTAATATACACCCTGATACCAGGACTCTTCCACCGGTGTTGACTAAATGCCTCTCGTTTAAATGTATTTCCATGGCTGCTTTCGCTTGCAAAAGCAGATCAGGACCTTCTTGCTTTTGATTTGAAAGTCTTAAAACTTCCAGGCTTTGGGCAAAAATGGGAACAAAGGTTTTTCCTGGTTTGAGAATGGGAACTTAGAATGCCAATACTGATCAAGAATGCCAATAGTGATTAGGAACTACTGTTACAGTATCTTGATAAAGAGTTGTCTTTGGGGAAGCTAATGTGTGGGCACAGGGAAGGGCTTACATTTTGTTTTTTATGGGAAAAGTTGTAAGAGGACAGGGAAACAAATGCTTGTAGCTCAGGAGCAGCAGCTCGCCTTTAAAGAGTCCCGGGCGCTGCTTAGTCGGTCCCGGTGCAGCCCACTTTTGCACCTGGTTATTGCAAGAGGCATCACACAGAGTTCTGCAAGAAATTTGGACACTCAGAGTATGTTTAGCATGAGTCTAAACATGGATTTTTCTCAGCTCACTCTTGTGCCAGCAGAGGTTATGTCACAGATCTGCATCCCTGTTTCTAAACTACTGAGATAAAGCTTGAGATAGTAGGTGTACATGTAATGTGATACTGCTTGTGTCTCTCTAAAGTAAAATTCTTTTGTACAATAACTGACTTACAAACTTTCTTGTTTGAAAGTACGTAGTCGAAACTGCCTTCAACATTTATAGAGTAAGGAAGTGAAATGAATCACAGTGGAAAAGCTGCTGGGAAATGAGCTGTTTCATGAAACCAGATCTCTAGGAGAACAGCTACATTGTCATCTGAGCACACAGCCTGCTCTGTTGAAGACTTTCATATGGCGTGAGATAAGCAAGAGCCACATATCTGGAAAATAGAGAATAATCACATTATTGATGTGGAATGTACACTGAAAGTTAGGTTTATTTTTTGTGCTTCTTTCATTATCTTCTGTTCTTCATTAAACTGACGTGTATCTTGGTAGATGCAGTGGCCTTACTTCTGAGGAGCAATTCCAATTAGGAACTGATCAAGACATTTCTGATTAAAGGCATATTTGATCTTTGGTTTTATTCAGCATTTACAAAGGAAAAATGATTGTTACAACATCTCTTCTGCACTCTGTAGTGTGCCTGAATTCCTGCCTATGCCCAGGCCAGAGATTTGATTTTTTCATAATTGTAGAGTATTTGGTAACCCCACTAAAATAAGTAGACTCTGCAAATCCAAAAAGTATTGCTATGTTTATGTGAAAATAAAAGGAGAATATTCAGCATGTTAAGGGGGCATGGGAGGTAAAATTCAGAGACTTGAACGTCTATGATAAGGAACAAAGCATAGTGCCAAGGAGTTGGACTCTCTGATCCTTATGGGTCCCTTTCAACTCGAGATCTTCTGTAATTCTGTGACTGTGATTTGTCATTGCACAGGGCTTTGCACAAGAGCTCACCTGCAGTAGTTGCTAGTGGATCCCAAACAAAGTAATTGCAGCAGCAGCTCTTCCTCCATATAAATACCTAATGCTAATTTCATAAGTTAATTTTAGCTTATTTTAGGTGACAGTCTAATGGTTTCTAATGATTATACTTACATGCATCAGCCTTGCAGCAATATCCATTCATGTGTGGGTGTAAATTATGTAACACTTGATCTGCTGCCTGGGAAAGAGCAGAGCCAATGTTTCATTCTTCATTGTCTGCAAAGCAGAGAGGGATGTGGCTGCAAGGGGGGAGGCCCCGAGGTTTAGGCAGTGCCTGGAGACTCACTGGGTCTGGGTTTGGTTCCCACCTCTGTCGCACATTTCCCTGGGCGAACTGCTGTCTGTCTCTCAAGGTCTCAGACTTTCATCTGTGTGAAGATCCTGGTAAAGCATCACATTGCTCAGGATCAGTTCTCGGACCCAGGTCCAATTTCATAGAATCCTAGAATGGCCTAGGCTGGAAGGGACCTCAGAGATCATCTAGTCCAACCTCCCTGTCATGGGCAGGGACGCCTCTCAGCTAGATCAGACTACTCAAGGCTCCATCCAACTTGGCCTTGAACAGGGGCAGCCACAACCTCTCTGGGCAATTTATTCCAAAGTCTTGCCACCCTCGTACTGAAGAATTTCTTCCTAAGATCCAATCTAAATCTATTCTCCTTCAACTTAAACCCATTTCCCCTTGTCCTGTCACTGGACACTCTTGTAAAAAGTCCTTCCCCAGCCTTCCTGTAGGATCCCTTGAGGTTCTGGAAGGCAGCTATTACGTCCCTCCGAAGTCTTCTCTTTTCAAGACTGAACAGCTCCCGCGCGCACCTGCTCCCCGACAAGAGAGTGCTCCTAGCGCGGACTGACTGACTGCGCAGCCCACACACCGCAGTTTGTACCACGTATTAGTAGCCTTTCTTCTTTGCTTCATCTTGACAGTCGACTTTAATCAGTATTGTCAGCAGCTTACAACACTTAACTCTCTGGAGCACTCTAGCATTCAGCCTCCAGGAGACACCTGGAGCGGAGGTGCAGGGTCACTGGGGTTATCTGGTTCTGTCTCAGTGGCCTGAAGCCCTCGTGCCATTGTTCACGGAGCTGCTGCTCTTTGTAGTAGTGTCGTGTGTTTTCAGCCCCGCACCCCATCAGTGGGAGCAAGTTAGTCTGCAGAACGTTACTGAGGTTCAAACTGTCATAAAAGAAGAAAACTTCATCCCTTCCCACCCAGCACACTGCTGCAGTTTAAACACTGCTGCAGTTTAACTGGTTAAAAAAAATAAACTAATCGTATGACTGAGTTATTTTCATGTGTGGATTGCTGTTTATTTCTGGCTTGTCAATAATTAATTTCAATCTGTTTCTAACACAGAAATGGAGTAGACACTTGATTTGAATCTGTTAGAAGTTGTCCTGCTGTCTGCACAGCCTGAAGCGCAGTGACACAGGCAGTGTAGCACTTGAAGGCGTTAAAAGAAATTATGTGCTTCTGGATTAATGCTGACTTCTGATTGATATGGCAGTAGAAAAGAGTATGGTAACAGCTGGAAAGCCATAGATTGAATAGTACCATCCCTATTGTCATATTTCTATTCTGAGACATGCATTGTTAGGTTTACTCATAATATCTCTTGATTTTTAAGTGTTTAATGGATCAGCCTCTGATTTTATGCCTAGGAGTAATCAAGGGAGTAGAAAGGATGGGAGACAAGTAACAGCTTATTTGTAGTTAAAGATCTACGTGAAATATCACATCTGCTCTGCAGTTAGAAGGAAAAGCCATGGGCTGGCTGCAAACAAAGCAGACCAACTCGTTCATGTATTCCCCATACACTGAGGCCACTTTTAAATCAAGAAGAAAGCTCTTTTCTAATGCTGCGCTAAGCTTTTAATCTTCTTACAGTGAGAGTTACACACGTCCAGGTCACCTCTACAGGCAGTGTCCCTCCTCTCCAGGTTGGAAATGGGCTGTCCAGCCCCCTTCTTAGCAGCTGTGCTCCTCTGCCCCTAAAAGCAAAGTCTTTTTTATACAATGCTCGCTCTCTTTTCCCCACGGGAGTGCCTGTCCAGTACCTAAGGTGCTCTCAGCACTGAGCTGTTTATTAGTGATTTTTCCCACAGCAGTGGCAGGGAGGTCAGGGTCTGATGTGTGTAACGAAAACCAGAGGGCAATGGGCATGATCTTACCAACATGACTGACCTATGCAGTTTGGTTCCTGCATCAATTATGCAAAAGCCCTTGAGGACTTTTAGAAAATGTGAAGTGTTTACAGGAATGTAGAAGTAGAGCTTGAAAAAAATAATGACACATTTTTTTCTTCACATTAATTTCTATGGAGAACAGCCTTTTAATTGTGTCCATATATGTTTTTTAAGCATTCATTCCACATCAGTATTTCTCCTTTTTCCTTAAGTGATTTCTATATTCCTACTAACCGGCAATCATTTTGTCTGTACCTCATTTCCTTTTGTCTGTATCCTCGTTTTCCTCCCATCAATCTCTGCTTTATTAAACAGGGAAGCATGCTTGGAAGCCAGAGCACTCAGATTTGATCAAAGATGTTATGCAAACCATTGATTTTAATTTACAGCAATATCCACTTTTTCTATTATTAGCTTTGAATTACTAAGACTGAATAATTAACAATATTCCTACTTGATAGCAGATTGTTCAAACGGCAGATGTACAGAAACACAGCAGAGATGAACGTCCTTCCTACACCCCCAGTGAGGCATATGCCTATTTATTGCTCCCCAGGGGAGCCGTGCAACATGGCACAAGTGAAATACTCTGTGGAGAGACCTCCCAAATGATTTCAAAACTATTATCACAGCAAATGCTCCACAGAAAAGTGTGCCAGGGTGTGTTTATGACCTGCTAGTCTCTCTTCAGAGCCCTGGGCTGTGGCCAGCCAAGTCAAGTGATGCAAACTGGGATGCCACTGTTTTCAGGCCGTGTACACTGGGTGGAAATGCAGAAGGGACCTTTAAAGATGGTCAGTTCACTCCCTGTGCAGTGAGCAGAGACTTCTTAGCTAGAGCAGGTTGCTCAGAGCCCCATCAAGCCTGGCCTTGAATGTTTCTCCCACCTCTCTGCAGTCTGATCCAGTGTTTCATCACTCTCATCATAAAACATTTCTTCCTGATGTCTAGTATAAATCTACCCTCTTTTAGTTTAAACTCATTATCCCTTGTCATGTTGCAATGAGCCCTGCACTTACTACATATTGTATTGATTACTCATTACCATTTATGTCTAAGTGCAAACCTCTTGCCTTTAGAATCAGAGCAGCTCATTCAAGGAGTAAGTCAAATCGAAAAACTTCACTCTTCCTCTCTACCTCCCTCCATGGCACAGGCCCCAAAGGCATCCTAACACCAAGTGCCATTCCCTTGAGAGTCAGTGTCCCTACTGCAGGGAGAGGATGGGGATCTCTTTGCAGGAAGCCCCAAAACCCCAGGGCTTCCCCTGAAAAAAGAGCCAGCAGGCTCGGTCACCAGTCCCCTTCTCAGGGCATTGCATGGTGGGGTGAGAAATCTCGTCCATGGCCGATGAGCAGATCACCCCAGGCAGGGCTTGGGCACAGGGGAGGTGTCTCCCTCTGTGAACACACTGCAGAGCACACCTGCAAGGTGCTCAGATACTGCAGTGATGCAAAACGTTCAGGAACAGCAAAAGGACGGGCAAAGCTAGATAAGACAAAACAGAAATCTAACTCAGCCTGGTTCTGTATAAACTAAATAGATGAAGGGAGACCAGTGGATGTCACATACCTCGACTTCAGTAAAGCTTTCGATACTGTCCCCCATCACATCCTTGTAGGTAAACTCCAGAAATGTGGGGTAGATGATTGGACCATGAGGTGGATTGCAAACTGGCTCAGCAACAATGCTCAGAGGGTTGTGCTCAGCGGCACAGAGTCCAGTTGGGGGCCTGTGGCCAGTGGGGTTCCCCAGGGATCAGTGCTGGGGCCAGTTCTGTTCAAAATCTTCATCAATGACCTGGATGAGGGGACAGAGCTCACCCTCAGCAAGTTCGCTGATGATACAAAACTGGGAGGGGTGGCTGACACCCAGGCAGGCTGTGCTGCTATCCAACAAGATCTGGACAGGCTGGAGAGCTGGGTGAAGGGGAACCTCATGGAGTTCTATAAGGACAAGTGCAGAGTCCTGCATCAGGGGAGGAATAACAGCAGCACCAGCACAGATCAGGGGATGAACTGCTGGAAAGCAGCCACGTGGAGACAGACCTTGGAGTCCC